CCTGCCGTGTGGATCCCGGAGCCAGGGCAGCAGTGGCTGCTCTCTGGGATCAGTGGGGCCAGCAGGAGGTGAAGAGCCTGCCAGGAGGTCAGCGGGCCGGGCAGGGGTCCAGCTGCAGGGGGTTCAGAAATGAGACTCTCTGGTCTGGCAAAATCCCTCATCAGGGACCGGTCAGGTCCCAAGGGTGTCAGACGAAGGAGGTCCAACCTGTTTGCCCAAGCCATTTTGCTAGTGCTGCAACTAGGGGGAATGGTTTAATTTAACCAATAAGAAAGGAAATATAAATCAAAACTTAAACAGATTAAGCACTTTAACTTTCTCGTGTTTATTTAAAATGAAGTTTGGTAAACTAAGTAAAATATTAATTTCCGTCCAATATAAAAGGTTCCCATGTTTTATTTATGGCAAGGGCAGGGAACTTTTTTGGGTCAGAGGCCACTGACGCACAGAAAAATCAGTAGGGGCCACACAAGTGAGAAGCAAAAAACCCTCTCCAAAAACCCCAACCCTCACTGATGTAGCCCCAACTGAGACACCTCACTCCTCTGGTGCTCTGGCCCCACAGGGCAAGGGGGAGGGACAGGAAGGACTGAAGTTCAGGGAGTCCCATAGGCAAGATTAACTCTTCTGGGGTTCCGGAGTTAGTGGGTTTTGTGGATACCCCTCCCCCAGGCTCTGGGGTGTGGCCAAAATGAGGAGATCAGTGTGCAGGACAGGACTGCCAGTGAGTGGAATGGGGGTGCAGCATCTGGGAAAAAGCTGGGATGCAGGAGGGGATGAAGGTCAGAGGTCTGGGTGGGAGGTAAGGTGTAGGAGCACGCTGGGAGTAGAGAAGTATCTGGCCAGGAGGGAGAGTGCAGGAGCAGGGTGAAGATAGGGTGTCTGGCCAAGGAGTATGGGTGCAGCAGCAGGGTGGGGGTACTCAAATTGAAGCAACTATCAGGCTGGATGGGGGATAAGGGGGTTTCCATGAATTATTCAGTCAATTTTTTACATCTGTAGTTTAGCTTTCACCCTTTATGATCTTTACTTTTCACATTTGCTCATCTGAAGAAGTGGGCTGTGCCCATGAAAGCTCATGATACCATCTACATGTTTTGCTAGTCTTTAAAGAGCTACCAGACTATTTGCTGTTTTTTACGTTTATCCTGTACAGACTAACTTAGCAATCCCTCAGACACATTTGCCCTGTTTGGGCAACAAGACATAGATCAGCCAATTTCACTTTCAGTTCTTCACAGTGGTTCAGATCCAGGAGGGAATACAGCTGTCTGAAAAGACTGCTTCCACTGCACAAAGCACCATGGGACAAACCCTAGGGATCAGAACTACTGCTGTCCAGGGATCAGGGAAACTAAGGTAGAAGTGAGAGTTACCAGATGGGTTTCAAAAAAATACCGGACACACTTCATCTCAGAATGGGAAGGGGGGGCTGGCTGGGAGGGGGTCAGGAGGAGCGGGGCTCCCCAGGGGAGGGGGAAGGAACCAAGAATGACTGGGAGAGGATCAGGGGAAGTGGGGGGAGGAGGGAGAAGAGAAAGGAACCGGCCAGCAGGAAGCAGGGCTGGCTGGGAGTGGGTCGCAGGGAGTGGGTCTGGCCGGAGAGGAACCGTCTGGTGGGTAGCAGGGTTAACCTGGGCACACGCAAATCCAGAGGTGCTGCCGGTCCCGCTAACTGTCCTGGCGGGGCACACGCAAGAGTCTGGCCCTGGGGATTCCATTCCACCCCAGCCCTGCCCCCGCTTCCCTCCCCTTAAGTCAGACCCCTAGATACGAACAGGGGGGCCCCGCTAGTGTGGGGTGCCTCCCCCACTGTCGCCGCCTCCGGCGGCATGGGGGGCGCTTCCCCCCAGCAGACCAGGGAGACACAGAGCAGCTTTTCTCGCCGCGGAGGACGCGGGTGGT